AACCGGACGGTTAATTTTAGGCAAAGGAAAGCTATCCTTAGGGCATGCCTTGTTAAGATCAGTGTAATCCACGCACATCCGCCAAGTTCCATTCGGCTTCTTGACCAGAACTACATTGGCCACCCAGTTAGAGTAATAACATTGTCGAATCAAACCAGCGTCCAACTACTTCTTTACTTCGGCCGCAGCCGCCTGATTTCTTTCTTCACCATGATTTCTCTTTTTCTGCCGTATAGGCTTTACGGCTGGATTCACAGCCAGCTTATGGACTGCTAAGTCTGGGATTATACCTGCCATCTCATGAACTTCAAATGCAAACACGTCTCTGATTTCTCTTAATAAATTCACCAAGTCATCTCCAAGCAAGCCCATGGCCATAGTGCCCATTTTGACCGTCCAATCAGGATGGTCTTGGTCGAGCACTATGTTCGTATAATCGCTGGTCAGCTGTGGCCTCAACTCTTCTATCCGGCCGACATTCATTAACTGTTATGCTTTTTCTTTCTTGATCGACTTACGTTTCTTGCCGACCTAGTATGCTTGGAGTGACCCTTCTTCGGAGTTTTGCTTAGACGCTTTTCCATGTCCGTGTGATGTTGGCTTCACGGCCAACTGATTACATTCTTTTGCCATCTTTTGGTTTCCCTAAATAGACCAATCTTTCCATCCGACTGCTCAAACTTCATCAGCATCAAGTGAGGGACGATTACAGCCTTTTCTAAGGTCAAAGTAGGGCAGCCAATAATGACATTATAGCCAGTGAGCTCTTTAACAACTAGGAAGCGAAAAACCATGTCCATTCCTTCTCCCTTCTTCTTAATCCGACGGGCAAGTCTATTCATCCGACCAGGTGGATAATGCTCCCACCGAACCCAAACAACGGGTCAGAGATATCCTTTAGGGCATCTTCTGGAAACTTCAAATTCTTTAGATAAGCTAAACTGATTATGTCGAACGAGCTGTCTGTGTCTATCAGCACCTGTCCAACCTTCAAATTGGCGACTTTGAGAATGAACACCATGGGGTCATTGCGGGGAGCTTTTTGGAAAAGGCTCAGCCTTGACCCCTTTTGCGTGCATTACATTCCCTAAATTCCTAGCGTCTTGCTTGATTCCCTTCATGGTTGGGCCGCCTGCAGCAAAGCCGCCTGATATGACGGCCACAAACCCTGAGTCCGTGATGTCCCCGTCATCATCTTTTCTTTTCTCCTTCTTCTTCTCATACTTGTTGTCTGTTCGAGAGTAGGTAAACTTAGACTTCAGAACGTACAAATTGAGCATGCCCTTCTCGACCAGCTTATCCAGCAACCTTTTTAAATTGTTACAGTCGTTCGTATCATGCCCCACATCCTTGTGGTAATGAAAATACTTGTGCTTGTTTCTATACTGGGCCGGCCCTCTCAAAGGTTGTAGCTTCTCAAACTCGAATTTGTCTTTGATTTCCATAAAAATTGAATAACAATCTTTGTTGAACTCGTACGATGGCTCGTACATCTTGGCTTTCTTTGACTTGGTCTGTTGGCAATCAGCCAGCCAGACTTCTTTTCTTTGGTTGTTTCCTTCTTTCTTTTTGTCGGCCGAGTCTTGCTGAGAAGGTAGTTTCTTCTCGGCGCCCTTGGCCGGCTCTTCTGACTTTGTCAGCGAACAGAAATAGCTGCATCAATATATGATTCGGCCTCCCGCAAAACACCTGTGTATGTCCGAATCTTTTTTCTGATCAAATCAAACTTGAAGTCATTATGCCTTAGACCTCGAAGAAACTCCGAGTAGGCCATTTCATCCGGCAGATTCTGAATTTGCGCTTTCTCCAAATTAAACCTCTGAACATACAAACGCAACCCCTCTTTCTTTCCTTGGACAATGGTCGCCAAGTTAAGACTAGTCTTCCAGGGTGGAATATTATAGGAGAAGTTTCCAACAAACAACAGGCTGAGAGTTGTAAAGAAATTTATGCATCCGGCCGGCAGACTGTTGAACCAGTCTTGAGCCACACCCTTGAGGGTGGCCACGAAGCATTTACACCAGGTGGCATCATCCACACTCTGCAAGTACATTTAATTTCTGAACGAGGTAACATGCTCTTCTGGATTGCCCGTACCATCATAGGCACTTACAAGTACACTCTTCACTTTAGCTGGATAAGGAGAGTTGAGAATTTCTTGAGAAAACAGAGGCGGCTTGTAACCAAGATTTAACAAGCGAATTTGCCAATAAATAGGTTGAGGTTGGGCGGCCGGGTCTGGCCAGGTAAGCTTCCTGGTCGTACGGCTGGCCATATTGCCCGTACTGCCCATATATAGGAGGAGTAGGCGGCATAATTGCACCATAGTTATGGGGCGTTTGAAACTAAAGGGGTTGAGTTAAAGGAACTGGAGTTGGAGTACGGGGAGCTTGACTTCTGCTGGTCTTGGCCGAGCTGGTATGATTGGAGAGAGTGTGGTTGGAGAATTCATCCGGCATGGTGGGAGTGGAGGCGGTGTCCGAGTAGTAGGATTGTGCTCGCTCCTGCCGCTTGTGCCGGAGATAGTCTCTAGCATCCTTCCGGGACTGGGATGGCTCATTTGGCTGCCTCAAAGGCTGCTTGATCTGCCCCCCCCCCCCCCAACCGACTGTGTTTTCACAAGTAGCATGGACTAGTTCATCCGAGGCACCCTTGGGGACCTCTGATGTCTTCTGAACGGGTATTCCCTGCATCTTCAGTATTGGCCGTCTTGTTTTGGAGTTTTTTCCTGATGCCCTCTTCTTCTCTTCTGGACGGCTGTCTAGAAGAAGAAGGTATCTTACCCTCAAGCTTTTTTCGGAGCTTGTTCAAGGCAGCACAAGGAGCTGGCCGTTACTAGGGGGGTCCTCGGCCTCATGGAATGAGGCGGTCAGAGGATCACTGGTGTTGATTGTAGCGACTATGTTCTCTACATAGCCGTCCTGACCAGAATCGGGTGTCTGACCATCTTTAGCCATTTCAGTCGTGTATCCCCACAGACGGCGCCAAATGTTTCGGGGTTTTTTGAAATCCCTCGGGATATAGGTCTTAAATATAGCCAGACAATCGTGGACACCTGCAAAACAACAAATATTCCGTTTGACGGTATTCGCCTCCGACAACCAAGTTAATGATCGGAAAACGAAATAATTTATAGAGAAGTTGGAGCAAATTGCTTATGCAATAAATGAGATGTCGCTATCCACCCCTTCCATCATAAATGATTGGGGTATTTATAGGGATAGGATTGTGTGCCATCTAGGGTTTGGTGACCTAGAATGGTGTGCTTTAATTGGCGGCGCAATCAGGTAAGGACAAGTGTCCTTTGGGGGCGTCGTTTTAGCGCCTTTCTCGGTATTTGAGCCTCCTGGTGTAAGGAGGTCTTTCCTCATTCAAGTGCTTTCCTCTTTGCCACTTGTCATCTTCCTATTGGGACACGTGTCGTCCTGTTATTGCGCCACGTGTCTCTATAGGATTAGACCACGTGTCAGGGGTATTTTTATCCTAAATAGGAAACATAAAAGATTAGATAATTTTAATAAACTGATTAGGGATAGTGATGTTGCGTGTAGGAGTGAATTGTGTATGAATGGACAAACCTTTGGTGTACTTTGTGAGATGCTTCGGGATATAGGGGGGCTAAAAGGAACTCGTAGTATGACCTTACAGGAGATTATTATTGCATTGTTTTCGTACACGTTATCTCTATCACAAAAAGAATAGGTTGATAGGAAATTATTTCTATAGGAGTGGTGAAAGTATTAGCAGACAATTCAACCTTTATCTCAGCTCCTTGCGGTTTTAAAGTTACATCATCACTTTGTCGCATTGTTACAGCACGTGCTTTATTACACAATCTGATTCGGAAGTACATGCCCACAAATTTTGATGTTGACATCAGATGAGAGTGAGGATGAGAATGATGATGATTCCGACGATGAAGTTGAATATATTACCCAAGTTCGATCATCAAATGCTTGGACTACTTTTAGGAATGATTTAGCCAAGTCCTTATGATAAATGGAAGAAGGAAGTGGTGCTTGACCTTTTGAGCCGTAATGTTTAAATAGATTATTTTCGTAAGGGTGAAAAACTCTACTGAATTTGACAGAAGAAGATTCTTGAAGGTTCTGCCTTGTTACTCCGTATTTGCTTTACATAAGAAGATTCTTGAAGGTTCACCCCCTCCCCCTAGCCCACTCTTTTCTTGAACTTTTTTTGTACGGCACATCCTTTTTCTAGAACCGCTTGGTGTGTATTGTCCTAACATGTAATGATGTTGCACTACTGGATTTTCATTTATTAGCTTTATGTGCCATTTATTTTAAATTGGTCTCCGTGAAGGTGTTTTTTTCTTGGGGTTTTCATATTCATTATGTTATTTTTCACTTTTTTTGTCGATGCAACATGCAAGTGCTTTGATTGGTGGTCATGGCTTTTTATCCTTATTTTCCCGTTAGTCTCCACCTCTCTCGTTGGTTGAACCGCTAAAGTAAATAGAGTATAGCTTCTGAAGTTGACAAAATTAGAACTTTTGTTCCATACCTATAGTTTTGCATGATGTTCAACTTGGGATTTTTGAGGTTTGATATAAATGTTGTAGCAGTTACTAATTTGGTATGTAGTAGAATGTTACAAGTGCCAATTTCCTACAATGATTTTATATTTTTATGTACTAAAATTTTACTATGTTGATTCCTGATTCCAACATTATGAACCAAATACTAGGTAAGGAGATGATATTCATTCCAGAAATGAACCAAACACAAGGTATTAGGAATTAAATTCCAACCTCATACCACTCTGATTTCATTCCTGATTCCAAACCCATACCAAGTTGGTGGTCTCAATCCGTCGAGTAATTCAAATTGGGTAATCAAATTAAAAGCTAGTTTAGCCAAGTCTAGATCCAAGGAGCAACTGGTCACATACTCCGATATAACTGACAAACAAATCCCTAAATCATTGACCTCAGCACAGGCAATTGCAAATTGACCCAAGTAATTAAAAGCACAAAAAACTACAAGATCAAATTTTCTCCTGATGAAGCATATCAGTTTCACCCTATTATTAGCACATAATCCATTACACATGTCCTGGTATTTCATACACTGATCTGATATCCAGAAGGATGAACCACCATAAAACAAATGGAAATAACATATACATTCACAGGCCTGAAGCCTGTAGTCAAAGGTTTTCTGAAACTTTATGACAGGCGTAAAACAAAGTATTATCGTCATCATCTAGTATCCCCCTTGAATAAATGCGTTCAAGCGGTCTAACTCATCTCGGTGCTCACTAACCACCGCACGGACTACGTCGCCAATAGACACCATACCTTTCATCCCTTTATCATCAATCACTGGGATGTGTCGAATGCGGTTATCTGCCACTCAAAACAATGTGAGAGAACATTCATGTTTAGCAGGTACTCCTAAATAACAGGGGAAAAAAAAAAAAAAAAAAAGAAGAGCCAGCAACTTCAATAACTAACCTGTCATCAATTGCATCGCCTTCAGAACCTTGGTATCAGGTGTAACGGTAATAAGCTTGTTCTGCACGCAAACCAGACATAATAAGAAATGACACATGAGAAAGTCAAATGAGTCTTTAAACAACCATATCTGTCTTGATTATGGTTAGGGTAAGATGCAACATACCTCCTCAGTCATGATGTCACCAACCTTGGTAGACTTTGAGGATCTTCCTTGCACTATGATTTTCCTCAGATAATCTGGAACACCAAAAAGAAACTTTTATTATAAGTCCTGTCATTATGCTTTTGTTAACAGCATTTAGCATGAAATGAACTAGTTTACGGTATAAGATTGTGCCAAAGCAAGCTAATAAGATGAGGCTTTGTTGACTTAAAAAAAAAAAAACTTTGGCAATCTTTCCAGTTTCCTCACCTTATGTTATTATATTAGTAAACAATCAAAAGTTTGGGAAAGCAAAAGATTTAAGGCAAAGACCATCAAGAAGATGTAAAATGTCTAATACACTATGGATAGGAGCATCTACTGCCAGGTAATCAGGGGGGGGTGTTAGAACCACAACATCTTAATTAAGAGCAAAAAGATTAAAATATACCTTGATTTTGATCACTACACCTTATTTCACTTATTTTAGATGCAAGTATACCTTGATTTTGATCACTACACCTTATTTCAACTTATTTTAGATGAAAGAGCAAATCCTTAAGTTAAACGGCCTCAAACAGAAGGGTTGATTATTTCTAAAGGTATAAAATGGATAGAGACAGATGTGGTCACTTTATTACACTTTACACTTAGCTATATACACCAAACAGGATCAGGATCACATCCGCAAATGGGAACTTTTTTTTGAATCACAAGTTCAAATCCAAACCAAAATTACTGAACAACATGATAGCTTTTCTACATATCAAAACCCAAACAAAAATTATTCAACAGTTGGAATTGAATTCAACATCAAACCAAATTTAAATTACTTCTAAACTGATTAAAACCAAAATTTGAATTTGCTGGTTTGGATCCAAGCTAATGCTTTCTCATGCCAATGATGGGTCACTCCAATAAATCTAATATCTAGTTGTATTGTTGTAACAAATTATATACTTCCTCTCTTCACTCTCTCTTAATAACATTTTGACTTTTGCACTATTCATACACCCTACTTTAATGTTTTTACTTGTACATAAAAAAGCAAATTGTAAACGACGGTTAAATTAGTCCCAACTCCCAACGTATATTTTAATAGCAGAATATATACTTCCTCCCTTTACTCTCTCTCTCTCTCTCTCTCTCAGGAGAGCTTTTGGTGCGTCTCGCCAAAAAAAAAAAAGTCACTCTACCCCAATCGCCTTACACCTAGGCAAACTTTCTAATACATTGTTTCTGAGTTTCTCTGCTTATAAGTGACCACCTTTCCATCCAACATAGCAAATAATTGTAGTTCTCCACCATTCGGTCTCTAAATTAGAAATACTACGCATCCAAATAATTGTTGTTATTGAAATTCTAGATCTTTGATAAAACATTACTCCAAGTTCATGAAAACTATTCAATACAGTACTAGATCCTTATAAAACATCTATTATAAAGTTGTAAGGCTCTAAAATAAGGATAAACAGTCATAGAACGAGTGTGTGTATTAACTGTATAAGTAGTAGAAAAATAATTCCTACTTCCTTGAAAAGCCTATAAAATTCACTACTACTACGGCAAGCCACCTCTTCTAATGAATAGGAGAGTTGAGAACCCTGTCACTAAGAAATTTTTCGTGAACAATGCAGTGAATCATATGGTACTTGGGAAGCCTGTATCTGGCTCAAATGATATTATGCAATTAAAATCTCAGCTAAAAGAAAACTAAAAATAACGGCTCCAAATTCTAATACCAGAGAACTCCTTTATGATCAGATAGTGTGAAACTTCAGACAGATTACAATTCAACAGGTTCCAACAAGGATTCAAAACCCAACAATAATCATTCCAACTTCAAAAATACTGTAGGATTCCCTTTAAATGCCACCATACCTTAAACAGATCCAGATTACTTTATCACAATTCTACCTCCTCCTACAAGAATTCAAAACCCAACAATAACCGTCCCAAGTTCAAATACCACTAATTCCCCTTCAAATACCATTATACTTCAAACATATTTCAATTCCAGTTGCTCCGGCAAGGATTTGAAACAGCAATATTAAATTAGAACCTTCATGTGAAACCAATCTAGCCCAGAATGGAACCTTTTGAGAAAACTTAGAAATAGAACAGGAAGTCCTCTTAGAAAATAGAATGCTATCATTCATCATAATAATTAAATACTACAGAGTACTACGTATCAAAATTTACAGAGAATCAGGTTCATAAGTCCTCAACTCAGCAAATCTGCAATCAACAGATCTTATATGAGAATCACTCATCCATGAGTGAATTTTGGCAACCCTGCAAGACCTTATAATGTTGATTAAATTAACCATTAGAGAACTTTGACCCTCCACTCAAACCTAAGAATGCATTGGATCAGAATATTCAGCACACAATAATCCTGCTGACAAAATCAAACTTTTAATGAGAACTTATAATTCCAAACAATCCATCTAAAACCGATCAAAAACCCAAATAAATTTTGGATGAAACGCACTATGCTCAAATTTATGCAATCTTTGACGTGCTTCCCAATTCCAATCCCAGTCCACAACTCAAATTCTTCCACTAGATTTAATCAAGCTCAGTCAGTCAAGATACCTTACAATGCACACTTAAATCATCAGATAGACCCTGATTACTATCAATTGCATCTCGAAACTTCCTGGTCCTCACATGACTTGGAACCTTTATTTGATGTTGAAATGAGATACCTAATTACCAAGTTGCATCAGGTTCTTTGCCGATACATCTGCATCTATTAACTCTTTAGTTTTATCTTACTAAATTTAACAAAATTTTCTTCATGATTCTCACCCTTTGATATCCATGAAATGGGATACCTAATTACCAAGTTGCATCAGGTTCTTTGCTGATACATCTAACATCTATTACCTCTTTAGTTTTATCTTACTAAATTTAACAAAATTTTCTTCATGATTCTCGCCCTTTGATATCCATTATGGCCAAGGACATCATCTTCGCTATCAATAAATAGCATGAAAGATCAAGTAGGAGACATAAGTAGCTTACTAAAGTATTTATCCTCAAAGTTAGCATGACCTGACAGGCACGCAAAATAAGTTGCTTGAGTTGATCATGATTCATTATAAAAAAAAAAATTAAAAAAAAAATAAAAATAAAAAAAAAAAACAACTTCATGGTGCACTAAAAGTGTTGACTCAAGGATTTGATTTATGTCCTACAACATCTGCACATACAAGCTGATCAATCTTCCTTCAACAATCAAAAGTCAAGACCACACTTTTTGGAACAGTTCCTAGAGAACTGGAGCACTATGTGGAAGGCTATAGCCTTTCAAGGTCTAGAAGAATTACATTAGTTCCAAGGCCAAGTGAAAATTTAGAGAGCGATTCTAAGATTATTCATCCAAGATGCAAAGATTTAAAGTCAGTTAAACTTGAATAGTTATATGTATGATGTGAGTGAACTCAGAATTAACAAGCATAATTGAATTATATTATGATAATATTTCGGCTACAAGTTTAAACACATAATTAAGTCATTCTAGTCCAAGCTTTGTACTCCTACACTACATAACTGGGTGATGAACATGGTTGATTTATACAGTCCATCAATGAGTTCATGATAAAAAAGAAAATGGTTGATCTACATGTGGCAAAAATTCTCAAAAAGAAAAGATCCCAAATTTCATGTTCTTCTGTAATATTGTACACATACCTCTTTCTGTGATGATACCAGCAATTGACTTTTCCTCTTCAGGCTTCACAACCAACAATGCTCCCACATTGTGTTGTGTCATCTGTAAAGATAAAGATGATGTCCATGGCTGATGAGCTTACCAAGCAACCAGACATGAAGAAATGAATTCAGTAGTACAAAGCAAAGAGGAAGACATAAGTCGCATACCGACTTAACAGCATCGTAAACAGTGTCCTCAACTGTGCACCAAAGCCAGGAGCCATCAGCCCCTTTACCCTTTTCTTTCAAGATATCAGAAATGGTGGTTCTCTCAAAGCCATGCTCATCTATACGGGCAGACACAGTTGACTCAAATCGTGCACATGCAATGGGTCTCAGAAATTGATTTCCCAGGCGTACATGTTGCAAGACTGCATTCTTTCCATTTAAGAGAAGACCTCGAACTGCCCCTTGCATTTTTTTCCTGCTAACCAAAATTTTAACACTGATTAGCACTTAGCATACTAAATACTATATATTAAAGACCAATAATATTTTAACTATAAAAAAAACAATTAACCTACAATAAGATACTCTAAACAAAATATAGTGAGGAAACTTCAAACAAGACAGGCGAAAGGGCAAGAGATAATGAGAGGGTCAAGGGTGAACGGCAGAGAGGAATGCAGGGGAAATGGTTAGAGATCATGCCATTGTCTAGGAGAAATCAAAGGTGTAGCAAGATAGAGAGATTAAAATATTTGCCCTCTCTTTTTAGGGACTAGGAAGTGGAGAGAGGGAACTAAGGAGGATGCTAAGCACTAATGAACTCATATCTTGTTAGTCGTTCAAACTCCAAGTAGTTGTTTGGAATTAGTTTGATTTGAGAATATTATATCCAAATAAAAGTTTTAGCTATGACATAAATAGGTCCCACTAGTGGGAGAACTATATAGTGGAGAAAAATAGTAAGTTCTTCATATGTTTTCCTTGTATTGTGAATTGTGATAGCAAAATAACTTCATAAGCTGGCAAAACATATATTATTGGAGACAATAATTTTTTTTTTAACCCTTGAAGTCATATCAAGTAGCAGTGACAGCATGTATACAACAATTCTTTTTTACGTTTTCATTCACGCAATCGCGCATGATAATTAGTAAGCATATCACCATGGAAATTCCAAACATTAAAACTAATTTCAATAATATTAGAAGAAAAGTCTATCACAGATCACAATTTACACCTCCATTACAAATTAGTCATCCCTTTAACCAACACTAACAATATTAATTTCACAATATTATCCACTTCACAAATGCAATATTGCTCGTCACTTCAGAAAATTAAGTTCCTACCTCTGAGAAGAGTTTGTCAGTTTGACTACATATAATCACAAATGCGGTTCACAACTTCACATAAATCGACAATCAGTCATCAAATCCTATTAACTTAATCTGTCTTTTTCAAAGGAGTATAAATGTTCCAAGTAGTGGGTGGAGTTCGTTTCATTTGGGAATAATTTTATCAAAACAAAATTTAAATATGACAACAAACAACCCAATTTAGTTCATCTGATCTCTCTAAATTGTGAATTCTAGTAACAAAAGCACTACATAAGCTAGTTACATTCCTGTAAACAAAAAAAAAAGCAGCCTTTTATACATTCTTTATTAATTGAAAACTCATGGGCGCAATCATCAAACAGGTAATTACAGGGAAGTCGATTACAAATCACAATCTGATTCATACACTCCACTACATTACTCGTACATTTAACCAACAATAACAACACTGATTTCACAATACTATTCACTTCACAAATGCAATGTCACTTGTCGTATTAGGAATCTTCCTCCATTTTTTTAGTTGGATCATTTTGACTTTTGCACCAGTCAAATACTCTACTCAGACTAACTTGGGTGATTTATATAAGGAAAAACATAGTCATTTACTCATGTGGGAACTTTTTAGATCCATCTTAACTTATATTTTCAAATATCAACACTAAGGATGCATAAACAAACGTAAAAGTCAACACGTTGCAACTAAAATTAATCGCAAATCGGTCAATCGGTCATCGAATCCTAAAATAACAGTCTATGAAATATCTGATGAATTTAATGTGATCTAACTTCAATATAATTACACTTATAATTTTCAAATACAACGACCAAGTTGAGTAGTTGACTATGGTCCAGCCTTGACTTCATAATACAAAGCCCTTTTTTTTTCTTCATCAAAAAATTTCAACATCATAATAATCACAAATTAATAATTATAATAATAACAATAAATATTAGAAAATAACATTCAAATAAATAGTTGATCAACTACAATAATAGCAAGATCTAAGAAAAATGAATCAATAGAATCGGAAAAAAAAAAAAAAAAAAAAAAAAAAGAGAGAGAGAGAGAGAGGCCTCGGGAAAGGGTGAATAAATTACCGGCGAAAGGAGAAAAGCGACGGCGATTGTCTAGGGTTAATGGGAAGAGAGAGAAAAGTTTAAGGTTAAAGGTTTGAGAGAGGTGGAGTGATGACTGTATTGAAATTGTAGAGACAAAAATGAATGAGTCATTTTTATAGATAAGAGCTTGCTGCTTTTATGTGGACCCCACCTCAATCCACCTGTCTAGATTGAAAGGACAGTTACATTTTTCTAATATTGGATATTGGATTGGATATTTTTATACTCTGTTAATAATTTTTAGGATATTTTGGATTTTAACACCTGACAAAAGGCTGAAAATGGTTTTTAACACCCCCCAAAAAAAAACTTTTATTTTAACACCTCCCAAAAATATAAAAGTTGGAAGTTAACACCAGTTAACGATTTCCGTCACGGAAATTTAACGTGGGTCCCATAAATTGGCTTCAACTCTCCTTCGTTTTCAATTTTTTACGAAACCCACCTTCGTGGCTGCCATCCCATTTTTTCTTCTTATTCCTCCCTTCATCTTTTCTTCGTCTTCTTCCTCCCTTCATCTTCATGGCTGCCATCCCAAACTCTTTCCTTCGTTCTTGCCCACCCTCCCCTCAACTGCCACCCCTTCCCTCCCCCCTCCCTTTCCCCCACCCCTACGCTGCCAACCGAACCCACCCCCCTTCCCTTTCCCCGTTCTCGCAACCAAATCAGCTCCTCTCCAAATACCAGCCCACAATCGCAACCCCTGCAGCCACCTCCTCACTCAAACCGCAAAAAATCAATTCCCAACATCAATTCCCGAAATCAGAGCAAATCGCAGATCCATCGAACCTCGTCTAGAAATCAATTTAAGTTTGCCGAAAAAAGTTACGGTGTGGTGGTTTAGGGGTTAGGGTGGCCGAAAAGGTTAAGGCGGGTCGATTCGTTAGGGTTTGGAGCAAAGTGTTGCAGAAGAGTGGTGGTAGTGGTGGTGGTTGCGGCGATTCAGATCTTTGATTGTGGTTTCGGTGTGGTGGCTTGGGTCGGGGCAGCAGGGGAAAAGGGAGAGGGTTGGGTTGCATTTGTGGGGAAAAGGGGTGGGATGGGTTCGCCGGTCGTCGGTCGGGGGAGGGAGCTGGGTGGCTAACGGGATGGGGCAAGGTTGGTTTCTTGGGTGGTTGATTTAATTTTGGTGGCCGGTCCCCAGTTAACATGTTTGCTGGCTGCGAAGGCTTGGTCAGTAGCCGTACAGGGCCCTTTATGGGCGGCGGAATTGGTGGTAAAAAAAATGGAAGTTCTCAGTCGCTTTGTTCTCCAACGAAGGAGAAGATGAACCGGTGTTGAATTTTTATTTATTTTTTGTATGGTTTGATTTATGAGCACCAAAAATCTGTAAATCTGTAAATTATGAGCACCAAAAATCTGTAATGGATAAAATCAATGAAATGAAGGTTCAGAGAGGAAGTTTCGTGTTTTGCTGGGTGAAAATTGAAGTTGAAGCCAATTTGTGGGACCCACGTTAAATTTCCGTGACGGAAATCGTTAACTGGTGTTAACTTCCAACTTTTATATTTTTGGGAGGTGTTAAAATAAAAGTTTTTTTTTGGGGGGTGTTAAAAACCATTTTCAGCCTTTTGTCAGGTGTTAAAATCCAAAATATCCTAATTTTTATGACAATCTTATTTTTCTAAATTGATTAATCAGTAAGAAAAAAGATCTAAAAATTTTCTCTCCACAAACCTAGCCACCATAGTTTAAAGTTAGGAGTTGTCATTGATTTTTATCGGTGATAAGCTTCAAATTCTTCTTTAATTTAATGTTCTTAGCCAATAAAAATCACCAACAGTATGGTGATTATAGTTAGTCCTTCCATGTAGGGTTTAGTCAGTTCTCTAATGGTGGGATGTTTAGCATTGTTTGTTTGCATGTTTTTCGTGTGTGCAAGGATATAAATTTGAATGATTCGTCTTGCAAATTTATGAAATTGCAGGTCTGTTGGTATAGGGTGCAGATTTAAAAGATTCGTCTTGCAAATTTGCAGATCTTGATGACCAATTAAGTTTTTTCCCTTTTGCGACTATACATCAATGGAGCTCCGTCAAGAACGATGCAAAGACATCTAAAATTATCCAGGAGCAATTCAGAAGCGATACCATTAGTTTAGGGGTGTTTAATTCTTGTATTGAGAATTTAGATCTCTTAAGGGATGATTGTAAGTGCTGAATGGCTATTATTATTTAATGAAATCACCCCTCCCTATTTCATTCAAAAAAAAAAATGATTAATCAGTAGAGGGGGGAAATTAATTAAAAATGTTGTTAAAATAAGGTTAGTGAAAGAGAGATATATTTCTCGTGAAATAATAGTGAACTTTACCAAATAAAAAAGCACTAGATTTAAACTCGTACATAGCACGGATTTTATTCATAGTTAAACTTAACTTTTAGCATTTAATCGAAATAACAAAATATTAATACATAATATTACTATTTTTTTAATCTTATACAAATAAGCCTCACACATATACAAACAAATTTTAAATCTTCCAGGCTTCCATCATCATTCGTAAATCAATCGTTAATCGTGTCAGTTGATTAGTTGCGTAGTTAAACCAGCCCCCTTAATTATGATCTTTGTTCATCGCATTCAAAAATTTCATGGTGTTCAAATTCTAAAATATGCTTCTACTTTTACGTTTGAATATTAGATGAGTTTATATTGGATTGAAAAAATACTGGATTTAAAGTGGTGAAAAAGTACATTAGATATAATAAATTTTATTAACGTAGAACTTAATCTTTTAGCCGAATAAATGATAAATGATGAACATTTTTTATTCGCTGGAAAAAGAGAAAGGATATATTTTTAGTTTCAATGATTTTTTCTTATTTTTTGAATCTAATTCAAAACTGATATTTTTTATAATTGAACGTGATTTCATATTTTTTTATTAGTATTTTTTAAAAAAAATATTTTAGGAAAAATTAGAAAATAACGCCACAAATTTCACAAAAAATGAATTATAACACCACAAAATTTCAAACTTTTATTATAACACCACAAAAAAATCAAAAAAATTTGATTTCACCACCATCTAACGGATTCTTGGATGGAAGCCGTTAGTGGGGTTCACTGTGGACATGTGTCACTCAACAATTTTTTTAAAATAATAAATAAAAATAAAAACAAAAATAAAAAAAATAAAAAAAAACCCTAAATCCTAACCCAATCCAGCCCCGCCACCGAAACCACCTACTAAAGCCGCCGACACCCAAAAGCCAACCGTTGGAGCCCCTTGACCTCCCGCCAGAACCCGTCGGAACCCCCTGACCTCCCGCCGGAAACCCCTAACCCTACCAAAATCGCCGACTCCACCTAATCCCCTCTTCCTCCTCCCCAAAAACCACCGCAGCCACCACAACCATCTCACGCAATGCCCCCACTGTACCGACACCAGCACCCAGCCGGCGACCCACAGAAGTCCGCCTGCCCGACGATCCCCACCCTGATCCTCACCCTAGTCTGCGACTCTGCGACCCCATCTCTTTGCTAGCGCGCGACTGGGGTGTTTTTCGGTGGCTAGGGTGTTTCAAGGTTGGCTCAAGTGGGTTTTTCGGTGGCTGGGGGTGCCGACGGTGGGGCAGGGTTAGGGTTTAGGGGTTGCCAGCGGGCGACGACAGTTGCATGGTTGCTGGTGGTGGGGCTGGGTTAGGGTTTAAGTTTTCTTTTTTTTTAATTTCTTTTTTTTTTCTTTTTTTTTAACCAATCAATGAATGACACGTGTATTTGGTGAGTCCCACTAACAAATTCCATCCAAAAATCCGTTAGATGGTGGTGAAATCTGTAGGGTTTCGTGGTGTCCATTACCGCGCGGAAACAAAACCCGCCCAAAGATCCGTGCATAAATTAAAGCGACTAAACATGCATGCAATTAATTAAACAATAAACACATAATAATAGAGAGAGAGAGAGAGGAAAAGATGATCATACCCTTGATGCGTGTTTTCCACTTAACACGAGCACGAACTCACGAACGGAGAAAGAGCCTCAAACGCGACCCTTCCAACGTAATCCACCTACGCGCCCAAACTTGGCTAATATTACCGGCTAGGGTAATATTAACACTACTAACAAGAAGATCTCTTTATAAGGTTTTCTCAATGGAGATGCCTTATATAGAGTTCAACTCTTGCAATGATTCCCAAGGGAGGCCTTGGGTATTTATAGGAGAAGCATCTTCGTCCCCTTGATTTCCAATCAATGTGGGACTTTGCAAAGTTGAGAAATAAATGCATTTAATTTAATTCTAAAATAAATTAAAATACAAACAACAAATAATCAAACAACAAGTGGCATAAATATGAGAGGGTTAGGTGAGGACCACAAGGCCCTCCTTGCTCCCCAAGCCAAAACCGGACCCTATTCACGTGCGCCAAGTGGCAGCCCAGCTAGCGGTTTGCCTTGAGCAACAAGGCCTGCCATTGCTAGCAGCCTTGTGCTCTCGGCTGGCCTGCTAGCTTAGGTCCATCGCAGCAAGCCTCACAAACATGCGGGCTGCTATGCTGCTGGGCGCTGTTGCTGCTATTGCAAGCTGCACGCCCCTTGCAGGCTACTGGTGCTTGCTAGTCGCAGCGAGTGCTAGCGATGCCTAGAACACTACTCACATAAATGCTGGCCTTGCTAGCCTGTGCTGCCACATGCCGCACTTAGCCAGCACGCCCAGCTCACCCATGCGCGTGGCTTGCTAGGCTTGCGGCCCGAGCATCATGCACTTGGCCAGCAAGACTAGCTAGTGCATGCGCGCACCAAGCTAGGCTTGCGATCAGTGCTTGCTCGTGGCTACTTATGCTAGCCTAGCCCTCGCATGGCTAAGCCACTGCGAGGCTAGGGCTACGCACTTTTAACTTTATTATTGTTGTTTGATTTATTTGTTCGTCTCGTTAATTCCTAGAATTTAACTCGATGTTTGATGTTCGGCTTCGACGCTCTAAGCTCAGAATCCGACGTCGGATTACGTATCCTCTTGTTTGACGTATTAAGGCCTTCGGCTTAATTCGTCGACTTAGTTTGGTTGTGTTAGGTTTTCAAGTAATTGTAGAACAAGAACTACTTTAACAAGAACTACTTTAACAAGTGTGGGAACAAAACCTAAAACATGTATAATTAATATTAAATTATACAATTATCCAAA